GATATTATTGCAGATATATATTCATGAAACTCTGAGCATTATTATAAGTATATATTTCGGCACAACTAACTTGTCAACAGATCAGTTGAAGATCGCTAATTTATGATCTTTATATAAGTAATATAAGGAATAAAAACATAATAAATATATTTTCATCAAAAGCTTTTTTTTTGGTTTATATTGCCTTTTTTTGAGTAAATTATGTCGTTGTAGGGATTGAAATCATTTATTATATTATTACTTTTCATTACTATTATTACTTATAATTTATTAATATTTTATTATTTATATGACCTTACTAAAAACATTTTAATTTGTGATTATCGTATACAATATTAATAAAAAAAAAAGTTTTAAAATAGTTTGTAAAATTATTAATACTATATATTTTGTTTTATTTATATATTTAAATTGCTATGATTATTATTATAATTAGTTTTCTTATATTATTTTTGTAATGTTTGAGCGATTTTGTTGGATTTATTTAAATCCAAAATCTTATTCAGTTAAATCTCCTTTCTTGTTTATTATGTGAAAATTAACACAATGATTATTTTCTTTGAAAAGTATTTGATAACAATATGCTGTCAAAAATTATAAATGGAACTTGCACATAAATATATTGTACTATAATATAAGAATTGTATTGAAAATTGAGATAAATTTTCTGCATTTTCATCTTCAGCTACAGAGTTATATTACTTAAATCTTTAAATGTGCTCTATCTTTCCTATCAAGTTATTTCCTCTTACCAAATTTTGTCTGTATTCTGTAGCTAATTCGCATCAAATCTGTTCTCTGCAAAATACTGCGCAAATTAGCTCCACTTTGTCCAAGACGAAAACATAACCAGTTTCTGAGTCGCGCCCCGTCGGAGTATGCAAAAAAAAAAACGCAGAAAAAACAATAACTCAGATTGGCTCAGCGCCAGCGCAACTGTGCGCCAGCCATTAAAAACTCATCACCATCATCAGCGACCAACTGGAATGAGCACACACAACAACAAAAACAAAAACAACAACAAGAAGAACAAGAACAACAGTCGCTTTGGACAGCGACATTGTGGATGGGATCTGCCCTGAGAAGCCGCGGGGTTGCGTCTTGGCGCAACGTTGAGGGAGTGTCCAACACATGCGTCGAACTTTGAAACGCTTGAGTGCACAGCTTCAGGTTTAACTCTTGAGTTTCTGACAAATATATGCATATATGTATATATAGTTTTATGCATATATAACTTGCCACTGAGCAACGCCATTTTGTGTTAATTTTATTAAAAATCTTCGACGCCCACAAAATTTACAAAATATTTAAAACCAAACTTCCGCCAAATTAATTTTGCGCGTATTCTTATTCAAATGATGCATGATGATGGGCGAGGCAGGGCTGGGACTCACCCTCAACTGAGAGGGGGGCAGCGGCAGCGGCAGGGGCAGGTTTTCTCACGAGCTGCGTAATTACAGTTTACTTAAACTGTAAGAACTACGCAGCGGCAGCAGCGGCATCCGAACTTTGCGATCCGTATCGGTATCGTATCGTATCGCTGGGTACGCATCTAGCGATCCTTCGTCTGCGGCTTCGTTTTACTTGTGGATCTAATTGCAAATGCCCAACAACAACAACAACAACAAAAACAACAAGACGAACCTTTTTCGCTCAGCGACTGCAATTAAAATGGAACCACCAACCAGCCAAGCAACCATTTAGAGAGTCTCAATCTCAGTCCCAGCTCGGAGCTCCGAGTCTGTTGCGGAGTCTTGGCCCGAACAGCATGCCGGAAAAATCGACTCAAATTACAGAGACGCACACACACACACAGTCTCAGCCTCGTACTCGTCCTCGGTTTCGGCCTCGACTCGTTTACCCCAACACAGAGGGCAGAGGGTCTTTGGCAAAATACTTGGAAAAATTTGCGTGCCTTAATGGCGCTGAAAAGAGAGGGCGAGAGAGAGAGAGGGAGAGGAGGCAGCGGCACATAATTGCCAGCTGTCCAGGGTATGCGAGAAATATAAAATCTAAATTTCTGCTAAATTAGACGAAATAACAGCAGATCTTTAGGTTTTGGCATCAAAGCGCCGTCTTGATTGATCTGCAAGACCTTAGGGTAGTTTGTGCAGTAAGTTTTCCTAATTGTCGAACATTAAAAATTCTTCTATCCAAATGTATACAATTTCATGCGGTCAGCAGTTTCTAGTTTAATGTTACCCTAAACGATGTTTAGGCCTTATTATTTTGATGTATTCGCTGTGAATGTCGATGGTTGTGCGGGATAAAAGCGTTGCAGGTGGTCCGAATGTGTAACTGGATGCAATTGTATTATAGATAGATACAAGTATGGATAGGAAACTATCTTAATGCTAAAATGGATCATTATTTCAATTACTATTATTATTATTTTTATTTAAAAAAAAAATCCAGCGCTAATTGAAGCGTCCATTTGCTATGCTGACACAGATAAGACTAGAATATTTTTGTTTATTATATAAATAAACTTATTTAAGAGGATTTTTCATTTATGTTAAACCCACTATAGTATCTTTGTATTGGCCCTAACATACTCCAATCCCTAAGGTATATACATACATATATCCAAATATTCTTTTATTGATTTATTTTTGCGGCTTTAGTCTACATTATAGCATTGCATTTATAATAATTATGTATCGATACGAGCCATTACGAGCTTTAATATATATCTAATAATCAGTTAAATCCTTTTAACATCTGATTGGTAATGGGATAAAATAAGTTTGCTGTACGAAAAAAGGGTTAGCAGAAATATTCCAATTGGACTATAGTTTCACACCTTGAACCCATTGAAATTGTGCAAAAAGGATATAATGATATTGTGCAAATGCATATAACAGGGAGAAGGAAGCATCTCCGACTCTATAAAGTCTATATATTCTTGATCAGCATCAATAACCGAATCGATCTAGCCATTTCTGTACTGTACTGTATTGAACATAGGTTCTGCTTGTGCCCGCGCATTATGAGTTTGTTTTTAAGCAATCCATATAAATCGTTATCGAAATTATGTTTTATTAAATTTTGAAGGTTTCGAAATTTGTCCTAGTTTTGCATAATCAACTTTTACAAAGATACAATTATTAAATAAGAAAAATTCATTTGAATTAAATAAGGATCTAAACTGAAAATATACATTATTCTGTTTTTTATATTGTACGATATTTGTGTATAAATATTTGCACATATACTTTGGGAAACTTTTAACTCAAGTATTTTTGCTGCTATCGTCAGCACTTGAATAGTCTACAATAACTTGCTGTCAATTAGATGATGTCGTCCGCATTATAAAGTTTGGCTAGCAACATTATTTATGAGTTGTGACTGCGCATCCGAGAAATCCGACTGACCTTAAATCATTTAATCAGCAAAGGCAGCCTGAGGGCCGAGCCAAGCCGAGCCAAGTCGAGCCGATCTGAGCTGGGCTGGTGGCATGCAAAAATGTTCTGGACATTCACATGAAATATTTGCGAATTTGAAAACTTGATGCCAACTGTTTGCAGATTTTAATCTTTCACAAACTCAAACCGAGCACACGCACAGACAAACAGCTACAGAGGAAGAGACAGAGTAGAGGGTCCAAGACCAAGAGGGTGCATGTCCAGCCCAGTGTCCAGCAGGCAGCGGGCAGCAAGGGGCGGGGTTAGGGCACAACATAACAAAAAAAAAAAAAAGAAAAAATAAGTTGCAGTGACACTTGTTAGACGGGCTGACAGCTGGACAGTCGGACAGGCTGGGAAGCTGCGAGCCTGACCACGACCCAATGCAGATGTTGTCGTCATCATTCTCGTTGTCCTTCAGCTGCAGCTGCCCAAGCGGCGGGCAACTTGAGAGCCGGACAATGCGTCGACCAAGGCGACGACAACTTTTGCAAGCCAAGTGACTTTGACAGACGCCATAACTTGGGCTCTGGCGTAACGCCTTAACCTAGGGGCATGCACACACACTCGCATACACTCACACACACTCGCACTCACACACATACACACTCGTCCAGTTATTCAGTCTTTGAGTAATGAGGACAAAGTTTTGCATTCGTAATGTCTAGCTACTGCGTCTTGCGACTGCTTTTTGGTGGTGGTCAGGCGTGGTGCAATTTGCAAACTTCATTTATTCACGCCCGGAGCACTTCTGAGTAGAGTTGAGTTGAGTATCTTACGCTCCGGCCTGGGCACCCATTTGCTGCTACTGCTGCTGCTGCTGCTGTTTCCCTTCCAGTTTTGACCAACTTTGAAGCTTTCGACAGGCGACAGACTGCACAACTGCAGCAACTGGCGAAACTATTGAGATTTCTCGGGTGTTGCTTGAAAGTAGTCGATTTGTCACTTGCTTGGTTAAGCTACGATTGTTGCACAAATATCAAATGCATAACTTGCCCGAAGGAATTTGCTTTCATAAAGGAAAGCCCAGTTATTGGTGTATGTTGAGAAATTTTAATGATTAATGCGCTTATACAGAATGTCTATTAAACTGTTTGACTGGCTGTGCAGGAAAAAAAACACCTTTGGTCTCGATTCCATGATTCCAGCCTCATATATCGAATACCTTTGTAAAATATAACTTCAGACGTTGCAAGGATTTGAGTTCTCAGAAAATAATGTAAAGAAAAATCTCTGACCGTGTAAGGCCGGGCAATACCAGCTGCCACATGCAAGTCTCTAGGCGAAATATTTAAACTTTTTATTATTTTACTAGGATATGCTCACAACAACTTCGTTGTATAAATCCTTTCAGTGTAAATGTCTTTTTCATGTATATACCCTACACAATCTTGGCACTACAATCTACTTTCAGTCTTTCGCTTGGTGGACATCAGAAGCTACTAAGGCTACTGAACGATTCCAGCGTACAATGAAACATATTAAATTAAAAAAGCCTAAGTTATTGTAAGAAACTAAGCTAACAATATTATTATTTGATCACTTTTAAGCAGAGAATTATAGTTTGACCACCATTTTTTTGTTCGTTTTGCTGATTTTTATTAGTTTGCATGTTGCATTAAGTGTGACCGCATTTCTTTTTACAAAAAATATTTAAATATCTGGCAACGCTATAACCTGCAGAGTTAGCACATTGTCGATGCCGTTAAAGTGTGTTAAAATTTATTTGCAGTATTGCACAATTAGTTAAAAAGCTAAAAAGTTAGCAGCCGCCTTGATAGACCCAGCCTTATTTATATAATTTATGTTATTTAGCTGGGTGCTTTGAAATTTAGATCTAAGGATATATGTATATTTTATAATGCCCACATTAGTCCCAAGACCAATCCAATGCATATGGTTCGTGCCGTAAGTCCTATATGCACTCTACTTCCTTCAGAGCAGGGGCAATGTGACAAACATTGTTCACAATAGTTTTCAGTGTAATTTCTTTGCTGTTGGCGCTTGCCAATGACAATTGTACATCCCATCTGTGGCGTCCAGAAGCAGATAAAACCCTCCAATAGCTCTGTACATGCAATACATTTAGAGCATTAGCTTGATGTAAATACTTCTAGTAATTACCATGTATACGATAAACCCTTGGCAAACATTTATCTAATGTATTAACAGTAGTTACTTTTGAATCACATCTCTTAATCTTGTTTTCATCAGCGTTCAATTCTATTAACTGGCCATAATTCATAACATTGCATGATATGTATGTACTGCAATCGGCACATTTATTACTAATATCTGTAATTATAATCGAATAGTAACAAATATATGTACAAATTCTATAATTGAATTAGTATTAGTCTTACTCACTACTCGTTTCATTTACCATTGATACTTTCCCTATTGTGAAACATATTAATATTGAAAACCGAATTATAAAATTTCTCATAGCCTCAATAACTTTTCCCCATAGAGTGTGTGTGTGTTACTATTAGAGCTGGCTTCCCTTAACTTCTAAGTCAACTAATAATATTTTAAGGCTTGCTATGTTTACTTTGGAGTATAATGTATTTTGCTTAGTAATATTACTAAAATTGATTGCACAATTATCTATAAATCTTATTAGATACTCTCGTCTTCTGTTAAGATATTGCAACATTTCTAATACTGAGTTTGTTACTTGTACTGGGATGATAAAAAGTCGAAGGAAATGTTCAAAATTAATATATGTATCCCATTAGAAAGGCAGATAATTTTAATTTATTGTGTTTGATAAAATGATTCGATTTTTCCAATGTATATTTTTGAGATAGATACAATAAATATAAAAACAATATAATGTAATTTTCTAGATAATTTGATCTGATATTTCAAGTCTTATAAATGTTGTATATATTTACATATATTTAATATTTAATATTTTGTTTTAATAAGCTTATTCTTTAATTAATCTTTTATCTTATATCGATTATGATATGTTTTAAAATTGATTAAATTTAATTCTTATTGACTCGACCTAAGCTTCATATATTGTTCATTTTGTGGTCATTCGTCGGTTTTCTTGACATTGTTATGGGGCAATTGCTCATTTAATAAAACTAATCTGCGCTGCTCCAAGAAACAAATCAGAAATAATACGTTCCCTGGTAACCGTTGACAATCTCCATTTTAGCTTCTAGAGCGGATACAGCCAATTGAATGGTACGATGACTGTCTCTGAGTGCGATACAAGCACAAGTGCAAGTGCGTGTGTGTGTTTGTGTGTGTGTGTGCGAGTATTATGCCTTTTCGAGGGAATTATAAACTACGACGAACTTATATGCGATTGCCCACGACAAATTGCAGCCATTTAATTCAATTTAAATAAATTTAAAATTCATCCAACTTGTTGAGGCACTCGACTCATCTTAAACAACTGATTTGGATTTGATTGGACTTAATCATACTAACTTTATGCTAGCAAAAAAACATATCCAACTAAGTTAGCGTCAAGTTTACAATATTCCAATTAATTGTTGTGTATAAGTTTTTATTTCTGATTCATTTATTATGAATCATGTACAAATAATATATTCAGCTGAAATAATATTAAGGTTCAAGTTTTCTATGCCAAGGGAAATAGATACATTGTATTTTGCAGTAATTGTATACTTTTGGAGCGTACAAACGCTTACAGGGTGACAATGCATCAAATTTTTATCAGTTGCATTTGACATAATCAATTTGAATTTCAATTTTATGGATATATGACAATCAATCTTCCTTTCTTTAATAAGACATGTTGACATAATGGTATGTTCGCCCTGATTTCATTTAATTTTCAAAAATTATTTAATAAATGTAATTTTGAAAATTCAGAAATATTGCATTATTCTTATAGAACTAGAACAACTAGAACACTATTGTCATTTTTTATACCCTGAACCCATTAAAAATGGGTATAAGGGTATAGTGTATATATGCAAAATCCAAATGTATGTAACAAGCAGAAGGAAGCATCTCCGACCCCATAAAGTATATATATTCTTGATCAGCATCAATAGCCGAGTCGATCTAGCCATGTCCGTCTGTCTGTCCGTCCGTCCGTCCGTATGTATGAACGCAAGGATCTCAGAACCTACAAGAGCTAGAGACTTGAAATTGTAGATGTAGATGCTCCTAGCTCCCGCGCAGATCTAGTTTGTTTCCGATAATCAATAACTTACTCCGTTTCCAAGCAATCGATAAAAATCGATATCTATATCCTGTTTTTTGGGCAATTTTGGTAAATAATAAGAGCTAGAGTCACCAAACTTGACATATAGCTTCTAAAATAGAATATATATATGCATTTGATGTTGGAAGAAGAGGGTTCAGGGTATCGCCTAGTCGGGAGCTCTTGACTAGAACCTCTTGTTTAAATTTAAAATTGTTTGTAAGGAACCATTTTTGAAGCTCACAAAATTGTTTAACACTAAAGTGTACCTATTCTAATTAAACAATATTGCCGAATTTTATTTCTCATAGCGTAAATTTCCGAGCTACCATATTATTCTCGATAAAATCGTGATAAATCACATTACTTATTCCATTATATTTTCGCCAGAAATAATTTCAAATGAAAAGCGTCTAATACTATTTAAATTACGAACTTAAATCTCTGCTGCTGTTTAATCTGCTCTCACAATTACTGTACTGTATTTCATGTTTTCATTTTAATATGACAAATGTCTCTTGACTTTGATATTAAATTGTTCGCACTGGATTATCGCCGGTTTGCGCTTCATCAATTGTTTCTTCACTTTCCAACACATACTTTTATACCTTTTAGACCTTTCATTGTTGTTGCTGTTGTTGTTGTTGTTGCTGATATGCTCAATGTGCACTCACCTATTGTTTTTCTGTTGTTGATAATGATTATGTTGTTTCTGCACTTTGCACTCACATTGCGTTCTATACACTCTCTCTGTCTCGCTCTTGCACTTTGCCAACTGTGAAATATTCTGGGTTTCGTGTTCCACTTGCCTTGCGGCTTACTCACTTTTATTGCAAAATAAGTTCAATGACACAAAAGTAATGCACGACAATGCAATAACAACAATAACAGCAACAATAACAGCAACAATAACATCTTTTGCTCTTTGCCTTTTCTTTCATTGTTCATCGCACAACGTTACCGCTGCCTCTCCGCCCACCCCGCTGCCATTTCGGACCCAGCGTCTGCATTCACGCTAACTCCTTTTGTGCTGCATCGGAATATGTGTGCGAGCGGGAGAGCAATAGCAGAAGAGGCGCCAGCTAGCGCACGCCATTATTTGCATCTTTCGCTTTTCAACTCTTTTTTATTAGGCAGCCAAATGTGGGTCGCTCTCGCTCGCTCCCGTGGGCTCGCTCGCACTTTGCCTTGACTGACCGCAGAAAATCGATGACTGGCTGAAGCCCTTTTCTACTGCGGCTGCCATCGCTCGTTTTGTTGTTTGCCAAGTTCAGCGCCCAAAAACTAAACGCCATTTATTGTCAACGACAACTTTCACTCTCTGCTTGTGGGAGAGTGGGAGCGAGAGAGCGAGAGCGAGAGAGAGAGAGAGAGAGAGCGTCAACAATCAAGTCAAAGTGCTGGAACGTTCCCTCATCATCAACACGTTTTGCAATTTCTATGGCCAGAACTTCGCGCTTATCAACATCATACAATCAGACACACACGCACACACACACACACACACACACACACACACACACACACACACAGTGAACATTCATTCATTCATTCATTCAGTTGTTTGTTGTTGTTGTTATTGTCTCCCTATTGCATTTTCAAAAGCTAGACACAGAGCAACCTGTTGCCGACTCTCAACTGAAACTGAACTGAACTTCGCCAGGCAATGCAATTTTCAACAACGTCATCAACAGCAGCAGCAACAACATCAACAAAAACAACACACAGACGCACACACAGCCAAGCCAGCAGTCAGTCAACAACAACTACAACAACTCCAACAACAAGTAGAAACCATTTCCAAGCCATGCCCGCCGTATAATACATTCAACAAACAATTGAAATTTCGTATACAATTGCGAATTGAATGAGGAAATGAATGTGTAAAATGAATAACGTCTGAATAGCATCTCTTTGCGTGTGTGTATGTGTGTGTGTGTGTGTGTGTGTGTGTGTGTGTGTGTGTGTGTGTTTGGGTTCAGTCTGCAAGTGTCGAGACAGGTCGTATACGTGTTTTTTTTCTTTCCCTCTGCCCTTTCGCTCTCTCTCTCTCTCTATACCTCTCGCTCTTTCGCACACGCTGCTCTGGGTTTTTGTTTTCGCTGCCTTTTTTTCGGTGTTGGTAAACGGATAAACTCATAAAACAGTTGAAACAACGTTTAGATATTTGCTCAGGGTTAGAAATAGTCACAGAAAAGTTTGACACGAGTTTTGGCCTGAAGTTAGCTGCAAAGCCGATGTTAGCCTCTAGCTTTTGGCCAGAAAAGTAGGCAACTAAAGTTTTTCAATTTATCATGCCAAAAGTTCATGTTAGTGAAATATAAAAGCTAAACAATGGCACGGAGCGAGTGAAATTAACTGGAACAAGAGCTCACAACTGAAACGTAGCTTAAATTAATATTTTTGAATAACTCTAGCTTATGCTTACACTTATTTTATTTGTATATGTACATAGTTGATTCTAAAGTCTGTGTTCTTGTATTGCAGATAGGAACTTGAATACATGTGAATACACATGTTATAAGCTGCTTTTTACGTAAGTATTGTTAAATAGAAATACTTAACTTTTTAATTCTTTGGCTTTGTTGGCGTCAACGTAACATTCATATTAGTATTCTTACTTTATTATTATGTAGCATAGACTCTTGGTCCTTTCGCCTCTTAATATTAAAAAAATAATATATTAATATACAATAACATAATAATAATAATAATAATAATATGAGAAAAATAAGAGAATGCCCATATTTTACCTTCAAAAATGATGAAAACCCTCACGAAAAAATGCAGTCGCACTTTAAATTTATATTTAAATTAAATGTTTAATATTAATCAGTTGCATATTAAATGAATATTATTTTGAACATAGCTAGAATTTCTTTTAATAGATCGAGTTTCATCCTACAATTTCCTCTCACATATGTTTCTTTTTCAAAAGTTCTTTTAGAAGTTCTCTATTCAAATTTTCTGCTTTGGAAAATTACAAAATATTTTAAAGAAAAGTTGTTTATAAGAATGAGAAATAATTTTCCAAATTTTTTATTATCTTATTTTCTTCATGCTAAGGTGTTTTCTCTATTAGAATAAGAATTCATAATCAAATTTTTAATAAACTTATCTTCATGCAAAGGTTTATACTTTATTAGAATAAGGCTAAGAAAATTAAGTTTTGATTTAAAACTATTTGTAGATGTGTTTCTTTTTTTTAGAAAAGTTTGTTGTTGCTTTTAATTTTATTTTGAGTCATGTGAAGTTCAAGCGTTAGCAGCTTAACAGGTGCACATGTGTGC